AACGTAAAATCTGAACTGAGTGAGGCTGTTAGATCAATCAATCTATCAACGTAAGCTCATTATTTATTTTTATTGATAATGTTACGCACATTAACATTGACGCATTTGTGAGCTATGGAGCATCTGGATGAAGGTTAATTTATTTCTTTGCTTTGTGATGCTGCAAAGCTCGTGTTATTATTTTCTCGTCTCAATACAGCTCCTATCAAAGAAATTTCCGAGCTAGTGTTCGTTTTTTTTTCGCAACGCAACCACAACTTGGTGTTTATTTTTAGTTCTATGACGCTGAAAATATCTAACTACCAACCAGCATTGCTACTTGTTTATTTTTTTTTAAATTCCTAATGTTCTCACAAGAAAACGCCACACGAACTTGTTTCGTTTCCTTGAATTTCGTAACGCTACGACGCCAAACCGGTTTCGCAATTTCAAACACCGCTCTGTTTAATCTATTAGGTTTTCGTAAGCGATTTCTCGTAATTTTGCTGACGTCATCGTCATCATTGCAGGTCATCGAACGACCTTGCCAAGCCCAGCTGCTTCCTTCGTCCTGCCTTCATGTTATAGCCGAAATATAAGCGTATTATAGCCGAAATATAAGCGTATTATAGCCGAAATATAAGCGTATTATAGCCGAAATATAAGCGGCCGAACGCCGCTCGTTTGGACGTCGCTGAAATGCGAGCAAAGATTTTTTTGCAAAACTTTCACGCTCGTTTCTGAGACGATCTAGAAATTTCACCCCGTCGCGGTTTATACATTTTTCAAGCACTGCAAAATCTTTTACTAGCTCTCTTCTTGCGTCGTGAGTGAAATTCGGGAGTCTTTCAACATTAGGTTGTTATGTACACTACAGTTGAATTATTCGTGCTACGGTGACGAGTAATGCACCAAACGCACATATTAGTGAAAATTAACGCTCATGTTATGGCATTTATTTTGGTTTGCGCCGACATTATATCTGTCAAATAAGTGGTGAAAGGAACAGACTCACTGAATAAATTGTATGTAAGATAGAGCGAGGCACTTACATTTAATTTTGATTCTAAACAAAAAATAACATAATGCAATGTAAATAATTGCTGTGAAACGGCAAATTTGAAACCTGACGAACTTTGATGATTTCAGCCCAATGAATATTGACGTGAAATTCACTGCTAGGCGCAATATTCTGCATCCATTTTATAAGTTGCTCCAGCGTCGGATTTAAATTGAGAATCTCGAAATTATCGATGACGTTACAATCGCGAATAAATCTATACGGCGCCTGACGGATAGAATCTGTGTTAAAATCCATGCACGTCAAGATACCGGAGAACGAATTAAAAAATTAATAACAACTCGAGGACATGGATCAAGAGCACGATTACAAGTTTACTGCCGACATCATAGGAAATATAATAATGACATATACGACAACTGATATATTGGCATAAATAAAACGGGTATTATTGGTGAAATGAAGTTTTCGATCAGACAAATTTCGTGACCAAATTCATCTACGAAATTAATAGTGAGTGTAAGTTGAGTGTAGTTGATATGCTAGACTCTCATCTTGAGTATATCCATTAATGTGGCTTATCAGCCATCCATGAAACTTTCTGTGGGATTACATACAGGATGTTTGGGGGGTTATTTCCGCGTTACAACAGGCGAAATCTACAACGCTCGATACATGATGTTTCTCCTTGGGGTTTCCTGTCAATCGCTTATTGTTCTTGGTAGTTCAACTGAGGCATTTATCAAAAACAATATTTTCATTTCCGCGTTTACCAGAATCGCTTGTCATTCCTTAATGAGTATTTACCTTCGAATATGACTTCAGGATCTAAGAAGATAAAGTTCTGTTATGTATCGGGTAGTAATCTTATTAAGGCGAACTTGAAATTTTTGAAATCTCAAGAGGATGATATTTCAAACATAGAGTTGGAGAAATGTATTCGTTATAATTGTAAGAAGAGCTGATATTATGTAAGAGGATACCGGCCAGCTACAATTACTTTTTCGTGACTGATGAATTAAAAACCAGAAATGCAGCCTTTACGCCTAATCCCTTGCTATTAACCAGTCTCTTGACATAGTTTCTAGTTAGTTGGCAGTTGACTTTTCTTCTGTAAAATTTTTATTCCTGCACTGATAGTGAGGAAAACAAGCAGATTTTATGAGTCCTAAAAATGTTTTTAATGTCTAGTCCATTGATCACGTTCATATTTAAATCACGAAATCTACAGTGGGGGGAAATAAATATTCGTACACTTGAAAAATCGTATTTTAATGTATGTAAGTACACAAACTGAACAGGAGAAGTGATTTATATTATGTACAGAGGCGCATTGTATTCAAAAATAGCATCAATAGAAATTAAATCTCAATGCAACAAAAATTAATGCAACATGTTAACTTCTTCGGGTCAAAAAGTATTCGTACAAAACAACTTTTGACTAATATTTCACACCAGAACATTCCAGAATGTACTAGAAGTATTAAATTAAAATAATGCGGATTTATTGTTTTGTACGAATACTTTTTTCACTCGAAAAGTGAACATGTTGCATTGTTTTTTGTTGCATTGAGATTTAATTTCTTTTGATAGTATTTTTGAATACTATGCGTCTCTATACATAATTTAAATCATTTTTCCTGTTAAGTTTGTGTACTTACATACATTAAAATACGATTTTTCAAGTGTACGAATATTTATTTCCCCCCACTGTACATAAGCACATGACTTTAGAATTTTACTGAAGTATTTTCAGAATAAATAATTATGTGAAGAATCAACTTATTTCTTCGACCGCTTGTTTCGTTAGATACTGAAACACGTTCTCTAACATGACTTCCGCGCGTCATTCCAGGAATTGGACACACCATGCTTACACTCAAACAAATTCAAAGACGTTGAGAGAGAGACTACAAATAACTATGCACTTTTGCTCCGGTGTGGGCCATCCTGACCCAGTTTTGCCATCAAAAGGACGTATCGGTGTAACATGTAGTAAGTGTGTCATTATTTGCACAATTTGACCCATTCAACTGTTCGAGTGCGACATGATCGACTGCGTCACGGTGGAATTGCGCGAGGCTGTCCGAAACGCGGCAAACATCACAATAATTAGATCAGTATTCACTGCTGTGAGTGACGGAGAGCGCATTTTATCGTCGACAAAAACGTGAAGTCACGGACAAACGGACAGACGGACGGACATGACGAGCACAATAGCGCCTTTTTCCATAAATGAACGATTTGCTAAGTGCAGTTGCCTACTTTGATGTCTGGCATCGGTTCTTCAAATAAAGGTGGTGTGTACAGTAACTGTCGTTACATAGTATATTGCTAGAGACTAAATGTTATTCCATACCCAGACCGCATTTTGCTGTTACAATACCGCAGATAATGCACTCGTTGCGCCTCGCTTGCAGCCTGATTGAATGAGTTTTGATTGCGTATCATTGCCCATTGTTTTGAGTTGGTCATTGTGAGGTAGGGGTAGGTTATTGTGTTGCAGGTGTTGGTTAATGTGATGCTGGTGATTGTGTTGCGGGTGTTGGTTAATGTGATGCTTGTGATTGTGTTGCTTGTGTTGGTTAATGTGATGCTTGTGATTGTGTTGCTGGTGTTGGTTAATGTGATGCTTGTGATTGTGTTGCGGGTGTTGGTTAATGTGATGCTTGTGATTGTGTTGCGGGTGTTGGTTAATGTGATGCTTGTGATTGTGTTGCAGGTGTAAGTCATTAGTGCTTGATGAGCGTAGAGGGTCAATATGTGGCGGTTTCACCATTTCTCCGCCAATTTTTCGTACCCTGTGAACCCGACACTGCGTTACCGCTGTTCAAGGTCCCAAGTTGAACTCAACGACAATCAGTTATCTAAGCATTAGCATATGTTAGTAAAAATAGTCGAGCGTATAGAATATCCTCATGCTATGAGGAAGCTCTCGTATAAGCTCGTTAGCCACGAACTAATCAATACACGATTCCTTCCTTGAAGGAAAAGAGAAAGCATTCTCAACGTAGAAAAACCACTAAACTGCAAAGTGAATTACTGTGATGTTGCTCTCATGCTGCGGAAAAACTCTTGTGGTTCGAGCTAAGAAACGCGACGTGTTGAAGACATCGCGATTACTTCTCTGAGGAACTCGAGGGCCGTGTTTTTTTTCTGAGGGCCATGTTTTTTTGACCGCAATAAACTTTCTATGCCTCGTTGACTGACCACGTGTTGAAAGTTATAGCGCGTTCGTGGAGGGCCAATGAGTGTATCACGATTGGATTCGCGTTTAATACAATGACTACGTTTGTTTAAATGATTATCACTGCTGTCTAACTTTGAAAAGTGATCGCAATTTTAATCAAATTATCGTATTTGGAGTACAACACGACAAAGTTCAATTAACGTTTTTTTTTTTGCTCGTATATATTAGCCTATTAGTAGTCCTTGTGTTGGTATTAATTTGGGAATTCAAAAAGGATCCAAATAAGAACATTTTTACTTCTATAAGCAATGCTTAATTAATGCTTCAGGAACCTGGGAACCTAATCAGCATAGTATTCTGGGTACGTCTTTGTGATAAATGTTGCGCCAGAAACTTTTACCTAACGATTTATGAGGCGAAATCTTCCTGCGAATGCATTCCTGAATCAATGATATTTCGTAGAGAGTAGTGGTACGGCTATTTAGATCATAACTTTTATTCACAATCGATGATGCAAGTCTCTCCGAAAATTATTGCACGTGCTTTCGCAACTCGCTTTTCACTAGCCTCGTCTTGTTAGCATGTATTATTGACGGGAATAATAAAAACGGTACGATCTGTGAACATAGATAATTGTATATAAACGGTATTAAATCTATTTTAAATGCTGAACAGTCTAGTTCAAAAATTGACAAACGTATGAGTTTCAATATTTTTTATGCTTGCGCTGCAGATCTGGAGATTTAGCCATGTTATTTATGTCTGTTGTTTCTTCTGCATGTATGGTTGATTACTTTTTTTTCAACAGGGTAAAATTTCATAGATTCATCGCCTCCCTAACGAGTTTGACTAACTGTTTTGTTCAGAACATAACAGGACTTTTAATGGCTTTGTTCCCAGATCTTGTGTATGCAGTGACGAAGGCTGATAGACTTAGTGTTCAGTAATCGACTTGAACTAAAACATTTTCCTATGATACCAGCTATTTTTCCAATCTGGGTCATGGCCAAAATTCCTCCTGACCATCCTTACATGCCCATTGTGTATAGATTCTGATCTATAAAAGAAACTCGGAAAATCACATCATTTGTTTGAAAAACCTATTTGAAAATGTCGGTCATTCGTCGTCCTTTTAGGACCGCTTCGACTTCTTGGAACGAGCCCCTGATACTTGACAAGTCAAGGCAATCTTACCAATCGCATATTCATGGAAAAGTGTCCGACTTCTTAGGATCCAGCTGTATCATGAATCGCCAAGTATCCTGCAACATAGGATACGATTCTCCACAAGGTCCTAGGCAGCCTTTCTTCAGAGAATCAAGCCTTGCAAACAGAGAAGGGTTTTGTTTCAATTCAAATTCGCCTTTTCGAATTCAGTCACCCTCCGTTGAAATTAGTTCAAATCCTGATCAAAAGCTACTATGCTCCAGAGTATCTGAACAAGTACCGAGTCGGTATCCATTGTCGTGCGTAGATACTGTGTCTTCGAATTTTCATGAACAATTGCATGGAATTGGCTTCAACTCAACTATCGATCGAAGACTCCAATGCTCTTCGGAACCTAATGCTCCTGCGTGTGTCACTCATCAACCTCCCTTTTCTACCACCCCCAAAAATCCTTCTAAGGTCAGCTGGGCTTGGTGTTTACTCATGTCTTTGTTGCTGCAAATGCACTTGGTGTTTGCTTTGGACCCTTCTTTTGCAAACGCCGATGTCCTGGACAAACAAGATCATGCGTGCAGTCAGCACAGGGATCATGGCCATCCTCTGTATGGTCACGGTCAGGGCCAACTCCAGGATGGTAAGAGCATCCAAGAAAATACCGGCGTTGAGGTGACGGTACTTAGTGACGGGACGAGTGTTTTTGAAATGAATAAGCAGTTAACGCTCCCTAATGGTGATGATATCAGCGAAAACCATAGATTTGCTCCCGGAACTCCAAACTTTGATGATTTGCGGCGAGACTCAGATGCTAAGGTCAGCTTTGAACAAGACCGTGAAGAGGTGAGCAAAAGTCGATACCAAGAAAGTGATTTCAGAAAGAAGGGATACCATACGTTAGAAGAAAAACGTACCGGAGTTGAGCTTGATGAGGAACAAGCCGAGAAAAATCACAAACTAACGAACGAAAGAGTCACAGAGGAAGAAAATGTCCTACAAAAGAAGATATCACGCATTCAGACCACAAACGAGGAGCCAAACATTCAGAAGTCTCGGGAACCTGGGTCAGCGGCGCGTCAGAAACGGGATGCGCGAGGCATGCCTGTTGTTCCTCAATCCATGTCCATGGTGAGTGTACGTTTTCTGATTTTGAGAGGTCATATCTAAATATTGATGTTATTATCTTAACCTTACATCTTTACATCATTTATTTGAACAAATTTATAATCTCAGTAATATTGTCATAATTTTATTCTCATAGTTATTTACTGTTTAATAACTTGACAAAATATCTTTAAGAGGTCATAATTACATTCTTGCACCATCTCCAGCATGTACAAGTAAAATATTTCGACTTATTTACCCTTCAATGACTTTTAATGTGAAATACATGAATTGAATACTCTCCACAACATTTTCAATAGACTAATTATTTTATTCGCAATTAAGAGTGGATTACGAATTCTATAAGGAATTACCTAAAATTGATAGCTTTGGTAAATGAGTGGTTAAAATCACCAAGATTCGAGCAGCGAGTTGGGGGTTCGGAGCATGGTGGATAAGAATAGGCTACAGGCCAAAATGGCGTAATTCTTCAGTTGAGATATATTATTATATTATATTGCATTATAATATTTTATAATACAATATATAATAATTTATTTATTATTATATATTAAAACAAAATTTACTAATTTTTTCCTAGGAACTGTGCTCACAAAGATTCCTAGCTTCTTTTAAGCGACAACTTCTAAAGAGTTGTTAAATTTAAAATAATCTGCCATTACGAATCGCTAAAAGATTGAAGGTTACGAGTTAAACTTTGGGTGAAATGCATTCTGCATAAATTCAGTGTTTGCCTCCGTAAGTTGCAACACGCTAAAGAAAGTCCGAAGTAAATTAATTGTGTTCAGCTACCCATAATAAGTACAAAATTCTTCATTATTCATGCATTCTCTGTGTTCATTGCGCCATGCAGGCCGTGCCGCTACATCCCGTTAATATGCATAACCAGAGAAAGCTCACGCCTGCGCCCGTACGTTGTTTTGAATTTTGCTCACGTACGCCTGGGCTATTTCAAAGAGAAACTTCAAACTTCCTGGCGATGTTAAAGTCCTTTCATGTTGTAGTTGTCCTCATTTATTATGATTAGATACGTCATTTGTTATGCTGATGTCCGTCTATTGTGATGTTAATGTACATCGTTGTGTACCATTTCGCGTTTTGGACAGCACCATGCAATTCTACCGTGACGATGCCGTATCGAATTGAATTGCCTGTCCATCCGTCTTCTACCGTGTGTAATTATCAATATTATTACGTTCATGACATGATTTAAAATTAAGTACGATAAGTTAACATTGACGTTCCGACGATAAATTGACAAAATATTGTCTTGGATTTTATCGATCGATAATTATTTAAACTGCTGTTGAACAATTTTTAAGAATTTTTAATCATCAAATACTTGATATATTTTTTATATATTAAGTATTTGGTTTTATATTCGATCACTCAATTTTCATTTCAATGGAGATATTAGTGACAAAAGCTTCAAGTTTCAAATTTCTAAAATATTTAAAAAAAAAATCGCTGTATGATTAACAAACCGACATGGACTAAAATGACGCTAAGAGACAAAGACAAAATTGACGCTAAAAGCAGAGTGTTTGTGTTTTATTTTGGCGTTCATGTTCACAGTGGATGAAGGTTAGTGGGTGCTATCCTGATTAAAATTGATCGCTGCGTCAGTGTTGACCAATCATCAATAATTCAGGAGTCACCTGTACGTAGCACGCAGTTTAAAATGTCAATAACCTCAACTCGATCTTGAACTTTAACTGTGATTGGCTCAGTCTCATGTGGATAATTCGTTTTTAAAGTTATGTTAATATTCATTAAAATTTTAATTCTATTCAATATTTGTAAAGTCTGTGACTCAACAGCTTCTAAAAAGTATTTCAGTAATTGTATTTATGAGAGGAATTAGGGAACGTGTCATTCCCGGCCGTTTTCGAGGTCTCTCATTGAGAATATTAAAATAAAAAAGTAATGATATATGTATTAAATAAGCGTGTTACTAAAGATGGCTAACACAGTTTTCTAAAGATGGCAAAACGTCAAAGTGTGTTTATTTAGAGGAAATGGTTTTATATTCGATTAAGAAAATAACATTATTTGTATGTTGTTTTGTGATATCTGGCTCCTAACAATCGGTTGTGCTGGAGCAACTAAATCTTCAATAACAATTTTCAAGTGCAAGACCTTGATAGCTCAAATGACCTTGACCTTGAAAGCTCGAATGCTTCACAAATCACATCGAGTTGCCATCGGATATCTCCATCTGTATAACTTCGAATAATGAATGGTTGCTAAAGGCGCGTTTGTTATTGATCATCGCTGCATTGCCTTACAATGACGTAAGAAGCCCATTCATGATTGGTAAGCATGACCGTGAAAACCTCAAGATGACCTTGAATTGCCCTTCCTTAGCTGCACTGAAAAAATCGAATGACATTAAGTACCAGAACTTGCGACTAAACGTGATTAATGCACCGGCATGGCAGTCAAAAGACCAGGCTTGTGTGTAGTCTGAGTAAACAAAATTGTTAACTTTTTTGGGTATGGTCAAGAAACCGACAAACTGTGTCTTGATACGTCGTGAGAAAACGAAGTTTTTTTCTTTAGTTAGAGAAGCGTTTTTTGGATGGGGGAGGGTTTCACGTCCGTCGTAAACACTTTATTTGTCTTTGGTCAGTCTTATTTGTTTTACAGTTATTCGTACGTGTTCTTCGTGCTCGTCATCAATATATAAGATTATCAGAGATAGTCCGAGCTAGTGTATCCATCATGATAATTAATAAGGCGTACTAAGAATGACAAGAGCATCCAACTAAGCAGTAAAACGATGTCGACTCTGACTAGAACAAGCCTGTCATGGGCCACCTTGTGTAATGAAAACATGCAAGATTGATGAGCAGGAGGAGCGAGGACAACAATAGCTGTTGATGTACGACATGCCTTCCAAGTGGCTGCATTTGTAGACTTAAGGTGACATCTAACCTGTCATGACTGCTTGATTTGTTCAACAGGACCTTGATGCATGCGAAGCTATATGCGTTTATCATGCATGATAACATGTTTTTAACTATCTAACCGCGCAAAATCCAAGTCTGTTGTGATCACCTTTAAACGTGTAGAGGACATCATTGTTTGGCTTCGATCTTAATTCATCCACGATTTTATTCATGATCATGACATCAATGCATATTACGCGTCTGTGCGTCGTTCTACGCTTTTATTTTAGCCCATATTAACCAAAGCGCTATTGCATAAAGGGAGTTTATAAAATTCACGCCGAATGTAAAAGAATTCTGCGTCCCGCGAGTGTTTCAGTTTAGTAATTTGCATTTATTTACTGAAAACAGCATTTTTTTGCGTAAAATTATGTTCAACATTATTCAGTATCATTTATTCAGTATCATTTTCAACTCCTAAAATTTTGTAACCATCGTTATCTATTGAACATTTGAATAGAGTTATGAATACTGTTCCAAAATAATACTGCAGGAAGTGCAGAATAATGGACGCAATTCCACCCTATTCCCCTGACTTATTTGACCTTCAATTTAAGCCAGGCTTGTGCAATGTGATAGGCAAAAACTGAAGCCATATTCCCTGCAGCCATTAGGCTCCCTGACGCTCACTAATGCCGGTATCGATTATGTGGTTCTTTTAGGTATTTTGCCGGGAATTAACTTGTTACATCCGTATTATTATTTTTTTTATTGGCCAAGTGGGCATCTTCATTTTGGAGCCTTCACGGAAGTAAAAGGCAAGATTTTTGTGTAATATGAATGTGTTATTTAGATGCAGGTATTGTAGGGCTTGGTGGCAATCGATTTGCCAAGAGCATGAATGCAAAAAAACGATTGCGTATTTAATAGTCAAAAGGTTGCACGTCACCGCTAGCCTCAATCCAGTTATGTGGTGAAAAAAAAGCATTGAGTGAAAAAAACTGTACCTTTTTTACTGCGGCATTTTGAAATATGGGTAGTGTAGTAATTTTGGATCTGTTTTTGCTCCCAAGCTCCTCATGTCCCTGTTACGAATTTTATATCATCGGTATTTTAATCGGAAAACAGACCTTGATATCTGTTACTTTATGAAATCGATTCAATAAAAGAATAGAAATGAACAGAGGCAGTGTAAAATGAAATTCATCAATAAAAACAAAACACTCAAAGAATGACGAGGTTTATACCAGAAATTTGGTTACTTATTGCGGAAAATTAAATTTTATGTCCGTAACTGACTAACTGAATACTTAGAAATATTGTAGGGAAACTTGTGTTTTTTGGTCAATCTAACGATTGTTATTTTTTCAACGTAAACTATTTCATTTATGGTTAATATTGAATTACGCTGAAGTTGCGGTAACCTGACCTGTGTTTGTGTAGTTTCACACGAAATGTAACTTTTACTGTAATTAGTTAAGCTGAAGTAAAATTTAAAGTGTGGAATTAGTTATTAGTTGATGTGTGGTTGCGCTCACAAATATTTACATGGGTCGAAGTGCGTGTGTGGCTGTGAAATTAAGACGATCTCAAAATGAAAAAAAGTTGTTTTTAAGTTGGACTTAACACGTGATCAAGTAATTTTGAAAGTTGTAAGTTCATTGAAATTTTGATTACACTTAGACTGTAGGTCCCCTGTGTATTGATACGCTAACATTGACTGTATCTTATTAAAACAAGGTTGGTCAAATATGTTCCAAAATGGGAAAATGTTTGAGAAGTGGCGGTTAATTGTAAGACAGCGCATAAAGCCAGATTCCTAGATAACTGGGTTCATTTATACAAATGTGAATAAAAAATTTGATAGAGGCCTGGGCCTGCTGATTAACGGGAATAATTGAGCCGCACAAAAAATAAATTCCCCTAATTTTTGGATGGAACAATTCTCACTATGATTATGACCCCGACTTCTATGATCAGTAAAAATCATGATTATGAAATTATGAGAAAAATTAAAATTAAATGATGAATTTAAATTAAATATTACAAATAAATTATTAAATTAATTGAATTATAAATTTAATTTATAATTATAAATTAAAATTAGTGATGACTCGATACGAATTGACTCGATGACTCGAATTAATTATGACTCGATAAATTCAGTGCCCACTCGGAATTTTACAACGAGTTCGACGTACTTACATATATTTTTGAAGACATTACATTTTTGATCCGACTCCATGAAAAAAGTCCTATGATTTTTAAAAATTGTAAATAATAATTACAGGTAGAGAACAATAGAGAGAAAGGTAATATACGAGGTACAAGAAGAGACATGCTGAATATGGCTATTCATTGATATATTAGACTCAGTTCGTCACAACCATGCTTCGTTTAGAGCTCTTAAGCTAAGAAATGTAACCTTGAGGAAACTTGCCTGCATGGGAATTGATTTACTAAATGTTCTCACATCTCAACTTTTTGTTTCTAATTTTTGTTGGCTCCAGGTGGAGACCAGAGTTATTACTTTTTTCTAACAATTCCCTAAACTCTATGCCTCGTTCTCAAGGTTGAAGTTATTTCCCAATAATTATGTGCCCCATAAGCTATGATTCGTGATTTTCTTAAATACTACTTCCGCGGGCTGGTTTTTTGGAGGAGGAGGTTGCGGATTTTTTATACTGACTATTACTATTATTATTATTATTATTCTGCGAAGCAGTTATCGTGGCGTCTGGTTCAAAAGAACTTCGAGGTCACGTACACTCAAGTTTAATTCATTTAATAGCAAGCGAAAAATAAATATACACGAGAACTTTAACTAGACTTAAGGCGTCGACGAAACACCTGCAACAAAGGAGCCGATTTTACGGAAGCCGGCAGACTGTTCCAGGTTCTGGCGGCGGCGACCAGGGCCCATATACTTTCAAAAAAGTTTAGAGATCGTAAGTTCATCAGCCAATCATTGACGACATTTCAAGCAAAATCCACCAATCATAGACAAGAAAATAGAGCGTAAATACTTGCGTTCACTTAGCGAATATTGAAAGTATGGCCCCAGGAACTCTCTAGCTGTCGCCGACGGTAGATAGACGCGTAGATGGTATGACGAGGTCCGCTGTTGATGACGAATGTGGTCGTCTTTTAGAGGGCAGAGCCGACACGCGCTGCAGACATTCCGTGAGATAAGGAGGCAGCAGACTGCGAAGGCATCGGAACGTCAGAATTATTAACATTATTACTATTTTGTAAATCAACCCTTGTATGCATACTGCATTTTTTCAATTGGACTGAATATTAAACGATACAATATTGTTAATTGATATCGAATAAACAGCTTTACACAATTTGACGGCAATTTACTGAAGTACTTCTTCGGATTATTTAAATATTCTAGATTTTAAGAATCCAGGGTAATTTGTGAGGGTGTGAGGGCAATTTTACTTGGTTCCATTTTAATTTCGCACCATCTAAATTAAAATATTTCATTACAACTTTGCACCACGGCCTGCTGTTTCATCAAAATTTGCTCTTTAAGCATTTCAGGCCACTATGAAGGACCCGTTTAATCGCTTTTAATTATCCTTGATAATTCTCGTTACCAAACATTTACACAATTTAAGTAATAGCACTAAAACTCATTAATAAATCCGTAACTATTGGATTAAAGTTGAAGGAATCCAGTGCCAAAAGTTTAAATTTTGTTTGCTCCACCAGCCCGGTTTGATCCTGGCGCACGGGTATCCTGCGGAGGTGCATCACGTAACCACCGACGACGGCTACATCCTGGAGGTACACCGCATCCCAGGTCCCCGCATGCTGGACATGAGTCCTAAGAAGAAGAGGAGGAGGAACCGCCGACAAAGCCAACGCAGCAAGCGAGACGCGTCCCTCACTTACGATCCTCTTGAGGTCCTCAAGATCTTGGAGGAAGAGAGGCTTCTCAATTTCTTGGAACATGGCGACGCTGAGCTTTTCAATATGGTGGAAGATGAGCTACGTGCCCAAAGTCATGATGGTTTGGAAAAACTTCCTCAAAAGGGAGACGAGTTTGGATTTGGCTCGGTGTTTGATTACTACAGTAACAATGAAAGACAAACGACGTTAGATGGAGATACAGATTTGCAAAGCCAGAATGAAGGTCAAATGGAAAATAGAGGTACACATGATGTTTCAGGAGTCAATCGCAGAACTGTGCCCAAAAATATTTCAACCCGAAAACAACGATACAAGAGATCAGAAGATCGACAAAGCATGTTCCAGAGACGACAAATGATTCGAACTCTCGACCCACGCACACTAATGAGTATGGCTCGCAATGGTGGTGGTTTGAACGGTCCCTTGAGACCGAACGTGGGGCAGTCCCCTCCCCTCAGACCGCGGCCCTCCCGCCATACGTACCAGAGACCTCGACGGCGTTCTCACACTCCACTGGATCCTGTCATTACCGACATGCGATCGGGAGGTCAGCGACGGTCGTCCTCTTCCAGAGACCCGGCACCTGAAAATTCGGTTACTCGTGGAAATTCCGCCACTAAAGATCATTCTACAGTGCGTGGGAATCCCGCTAAACGCGAAAACTCCGCCACACGTACAAATCCTTCCATGCTCAGGTTCGGTAGAGTTCAGACACTTTTCCCATTCGATCCGCTATCCAAAAGAATCTGTTACGAGTCCGATAATTGTTGCGAAAATTCAACTAATTGCATTTCCAAAGGAAACTCGTTAGGTATTGACCGACCTGCTCGTCAAACAGCACCTTTTAGAAACGCGAAGCTCAACGAAAACCACGCTGATGCACCCGATGACTTATTCAACGACGGACTCAATGAGATAGAAAACGACCATGTCGTCAAGAATGGCAGTCGCTTCAGCGGCCAGGAAAACAAGCATTTCAAGCCCGGCCGCAATGGCAAGAAGAAAGTCGTCTTCATCCAACACTGTCTGCAGTGCTCCTCTGCTGATTTCGTTCTGAATGACCACAACCAGGCTTTAGGTCACGAACACTTTACAAATTTTTCATTTTTCTAAATTTATGTTCGCAATCTGAGTTTTCTTTGTAGTGCGTCATTTTTTTACGGCTTTAGAGTATCTACTGTTTTTAAACTCGAGTTTCTGAACTCATTAATTTCATTAGTTATAAATTTACAAATTTAAATTTTATGCAGACATTAGTATCGTCAAAGCCAATTGAAATATATATTCATTACTTTACATATGTCGAGTAATGCTTTCGTAAAAATCAAGTCACTGAAATCAGTGTGACTGAATTTTTAAATATCAGAACCACGTGAATGCCAAGAGAAACTGTCACTCTGGTCTGTGGAACAAATTAGCCTCAACAAAATTCATTTCAAATTTCTCAATCATAAAATTTAATTCTATAATTTCAATGGCGATTGTATTTTATTTTTGTCACTATAATGAAGCTGTCAGCCGTTTCCATTCAGTTAGTTCTGTCCATATTCGTATTTTTTGTTCACATTCAAGCCGCTAATATTTCATCTTCATTGTATATGTACAGGCTTTATTCTAGCAGACGCAGGCTACGACGTATGGCTTGGCAACTTCAGGGGTAACCAGTACAGTCGTGGTCACATCTCGCTCTCTCGAAGCAACGTCGATTTCTGGAAATTCACGTGAGAAATCGTATTACGTTTTTTTCGTACACAATACATATAATATTTTATTTGCAGCGAAAAAAGTTGAAATATTTTTATTTGTGTTACTATTTTGTATTTTTAATCTTTTTCGCTCCAGCCGGAAATGTCTCCTTCGCTCAAACCAAGGTATCTAAATATTAGTTTTAAATTCCGTAGACTTTTAGTGAGAAATCGCAAACTTATTTTCAAATGATAATTTATTTTAATCTAAATTCGATAAATATCATCGTTTGTAATAAATTTATCTTGTTAAATACTTTTTTGGAAACTAATTTATAACCATCATTGTAAAAAAAGCATGTGGACGTACCTGTACCAATTATGGTCATAAGTTCGATATTATTTATAAGGTTATTACTGGCATTATATGTCTATTGCAGTGTATGAGCCTTGAATTACGGTGTAAATTAGATGCTACGTGTGACAGTGTAATCTAGCATTATAGGTCTTTATTGCAGTGTATGGGCATTGAATTACGGTGTAAATTAAATGATACGTGTGACAGGGTGATCTAATTGTAAACACGATTGTCTTTTAATTAACTGAGCGTCGTGATATTTCTCAAAATTGTCACGTCCACAACAGTGAAGTAAATATTATTTAAAGAACTTTGGCGATTTCTATAGTTATATAGTGAAGGTAAAGTCGTTTTATGCAAAACAGGGGTGCAACTGTTGATATCTTAACGAAAAGTGTAAGTTGGTGCATGTGTTGCAACGAACTTAGCAGTCAAGCGAAAATTGTTTTCAATGATACGCATGTTAAGTACCGTACTGTCACATCGCTGCCCCAACATCCAAATAAAGCCTCTCTCCGTATTTGCCCTCTACATATCGGTATTAACGTCGTTATCATAACCTCTACATGTCGGTATTAACGTCGTTATCATAACCTCTTCATGTCAGTATTAACGTCGTTATAGCAACCTCTACATCGTAAAATATTGCCTATGTGTCTTATCGGCGAATATTCAGCATGACGGTATTTAATTCGTTATTATGACGCGTGCAGGACAAATTATCGTCAGTAGCTATTCTTAACCTTACGGTGTAAGAATCGTTACAATCTCTAAAGCGTATATTATCCTCTGAATCTAGCATCAACATGACGCTAGTAACATAGTTATCCTGACCTGGAAACCGTTTATTGTACTCTGAATCTAACTACAAAATGACAGTGTTAACATCGTTGTTCCGATCTTTGTACCGAGTATTACCTACTGATTCTACCATCAATCTGACGATAATAACATAGTTATCCTAACCTGGAGACCGTGGATTATCCTCTGAATCTAACTTCAGAATTACGGTGTTAACATCGTCATTCCGATCTTTATACCGTGGATTACCTACTGATTCTACCATCAACCTGACGTTATCAGCATGTTTATTTGACCACTACAGCGTAGACGACCTCGCTCGCTACGATCTACCTGCCATGATCCAGCACGTTCTCACCACCACCGCGTCCGACGACCTCTTCTACATCGGCCACTCTCTGGGCACCATGTCATTCTTCATGGCTTCCTCTACAAACCCGGACTTCCTTAGCAAGGTGATTGTTGCTTAGTAGGCCAAGTGATCGTTGCTTAGTAGGCCAAGTGATTATGTTACTTAGTGGGCTAAGCGATTATGTTACTTATAGAAGGCAGGGTGATTACGTTACTTATAGAAGGCAGGGTGATTACGTTACTTAGTAGGCAAGGCAACTATGTTACTTAGCAGACAAGGCGATTATGTTAATTAGTAGGCAAGGCGATCATGTCTTGTATTTGTAATGAACATTATAATACTCTGATGATCCTCCGTGAGTGCAGCTGTGTAACTCAGTTTATGATTCATCAGATGTATCGGTTTTTGCAGTATTAAATTAGGGAGTATTTACGTGGCAGCATTTTGGTTGCAGTAACCCAGCCTGTACGGTAATTTGGTCCTAATAAAAAGTGCAGGCACAATATAAGCAGCAAAAATTGAGAGGCGTCGAAGAGAACAATGCTACTAAAAAAACACGTTGCCCTGACGCTTATATAGCTTATCATTTCACGCTATCCATATTGCAGCTGTCATAAGCTGGCGACAAATGCCTAATGAGCGAGACAGGCTTTATCTAATACGTTAGGAAAACAAATTTGTGATATGCTATGCATTAGGCAACCAGAAATTTGTTTAGCCACATTGTCAAAAGTTACACTCTTCGTCGTCGTTTATATTAACTTCTAATGACGTGGTAATTAATTAGAGTTACTGTCGTTAGACAAAATTGCGAATTACCCATAACTTTGTGTCACATAAAAATCATGGAATTAAGCTCTCTCAAAACAAAATATATTTAAAAGAGAATCGAATGAAAGTGGAAATGCACGTGGCAGGAAAACAGACCGCAACTAAACTTGTAGGCATTAAATATCGCTGTGAGCTTGGCAAATTTTCGTTGACATGGTGAGCGAGTCTATGATATGCTTTTTCAACTAGATGATTAACTTTGTTATACCACGGAAATAAAATTCCTAATTTCCGGTATAACTGGGTCTTTATTTCTGTATACTCGTAGATTCTATTGAATAAGTTTACTTTTGGTTGAAAGTTGATACCTGTAATAATCTTGTTTACTGGATTGAACATTGCACGTTTCAGATTCGCCTGATGATAGCCTTAGCCCCGTCTGGTTATTTAGATCACATGCAAGGAGGCCTGAAAGTCATGGTCAAGTCTGCACAAACATTTTACGTGAGTATTATTGATGAGTTGAAGAGCGTGGTTTGTAGACAAATCATATATATTGGAGCCATCAACCTTGGAATTGTATCCTGCATGCATATGTCTTCTATTAGGTGTATATTAAGGTGTATTAGAAGGTACAACGGGTCGTTAAATGTTGACTAAAATTACCAATATAATCCACTAATCTATTCACAAGTCTCAAGCTTGAGATCGACTATGTACATACAGGAGCCAAAGTTTTAATGTACATAGCTTTATGGCGGACTGCTTGTGAGCTGTTAGTGGAACAATATTGTTCAAAATATTGCCTCAAATTAGCAAGTCTGATGGAAAATATTTATGTCCAACCATGAAAGGATGAGCATCAGCGGAATTATTTACTTCAATTCAATTGATGGTTCAAAATTTTCAAACCATCATTGTCTGTTGGTTGCACACTGTACAGTAAATTCCATGCCAATAACCAATCGATACCTGAATGTTTCTGTCTCGTGATGGACGTATTTTAACAGGCTATTGCTGAATGATTAATAGTCTCACTTATTATATTCATTCAGCACTTTGATTTACGCTATTAAAGCATTGAATCTTAGCCGAAGCAAGCATCTGGGCAGCTATGGAAAACCGCTCATTTAACCTGGGAAGAAAAATTTTTTAAATGAAATGGGTGAATTATCATTACATGCCACAGAGAATGATGGAAGCCATCGGCTTCGGGGAGATTGGCACGGTGATGCCGTGGCGAGGTGGCTTGATGAGCCGCATCTGTAAGCCCGCGAGTCCCTTCGCTGGGATCTGCTCAGCCTTCTTGCCCGCCATGTCAGGCAGCAATAACGGCCTCCACGACATGGTGGGTGGCGGGTGGTGGGTGGGTGTTGGGTGTTATTGTGTGATGGGTGGTGTGTACTGGATGCATGGTGGGTGTTTTTATGTGGCGGGGTGTTGTTGTGCCCGCCATGTCAGGCAGCAATAACGGCCTGCACGATATGGTGGGTGGCGGGTGACGAGTGGGTGTTGTTGTATGGGGGGCAATGTCTGGTGGGTGGTGAGTAGTGGATGGCGTGTAGTGGGTGCATAGTGGGTGTTTTTTGTGGTGTGTAGTGAGTGGTGGGATTCTTAAGTGGCGGGTGCTGTTGTGTGGTGGGTGTTTTTGTGTAGCGGGTGTTCTTGGGTGAGGGATATGTCGTTGTATCCCGGGTGTTATGTGGTAGAGGTTGCCACGTTGTGGGTGTCCGTGCATGGTTATGTGTGAATTTTGGGTGCTTATTGCGGCTTCGTGGCCGGTGACTGAGCGCTAGAAATGCGCTACTCTATATGTATATATATTAATCGAGTGTACATCACTTATTTCAGTAAAAAAATGCTCCCTGCATTCATCATTCATACCGATGAGCAAAAATTATTCCCTCACAATAGGTTGCTTCACTTCCATGTTGCTTCACTTCACAATAGGTTTCTTCTTCTGTGTGTGCGTGAGCTTAACATTCACCAATAATTTATTGATGCCACTCGGCAATGACTGGATGAAAACTTACGAGAGATCCGATGTTGAGGCGATGAATGCAGCTCGTTGATGGCGAGCTGTAGGAACGAGCGAAAGCTTCGTTTCCTCCATGACGATGGGCTTTTGTTTAAATAATTAATAGCTATAGTGCTGGAACTTGCTGTGCCACTTGTTGAAATTTTAACTTTTTTAATATTTACGGATACATCATGCGTGTGGTGATGTAATGAATTTGATGTAAACGAAGTTTTTGTGTTGAAAGATTTCCGGGTTTGATTCATAGCGCACACGTATATCGGGTGGGATAATAAATTTTCCTGCAATGATGCATGTCAAGGCCCTCGATTGAGTCGGTTTCCGTGACATTATGATCGCGTCCATAGTTTGATGGCGGCCTCAATGGTGAAAGAGAGTATTTAGTCATGATAGTCATTGAAGGGGTATTAAAAAGATATCAATCAATAGGGTCTTTAAAAGGCTAACGTAAGTACCTAATCATGATATTTAAAAGGCAAATATAGATAGTAATTATTGTAATCCTTATCCACACTAATTATTATTTATTATTGTTGTTTTGAGGTTTAATGAGAATATTTATTGATACTCGACAACCTGGAAGAGTCGTGAATTTCGCTTATAGCTCCATTGACATGAAAGCTATCATGAATAAAATACTGTGTTTCATTATTCAAGACGTTTCCCAGTCGCGTTTAGTCTCCATTGGACCGTCGCCAGATTCGTACTATTAGACCATCGCCAGCTTCGTACTATTAGACCATCGCCAGCTTCGTATTATTAGACCCTCGCCAGCATCGTATTATTAGACCGTCGCCAGCTTCGTACTGTTAGACCGTCGCCAGCTTCGTACTGTTAGAGTTAGACCGTCGCTATCTTCTACTTTTAGACGGTCGCCAGCATCATACTACTTCGTACTATTAGACCGTCGCCAGCTTCGTACTATTAGACCGTCGCCAGCTTCGTACTATTAGACCGTCGCCAGCTTCGTCCTATTAGACCGTCGCCAGCTTCGTACTATTAGACCGTCGCCAGCTTCGTCATGACCACGCCCATCATTTGACGATGTTGCGTCGCTCGCTACGTCAAGCTAACATGAAAGTTCGAGTGTTTGTCAGTGCACAACAGTAAATTACATACAATAACTCGCACCCTCATGTGCTTATCTCATTATCTGTTTTTTAACTCTCAATAACTCCAGCAAGGAACTTTTCTCATATAAGATTAACGATTAAAGCTGTAGTATATATTCGAGTAAATAATATTGAACTTTCAGCTCCGGTGAAAGGCTTATTCCTTATCATGAAAATATTAAAATTTAATTATTTGTTAGGAGAGAAAAAATACAAAGCTTACTGCATTATTATTTATCTTCAGGAGTATCTGCCATCGATGCTCTCCAATCTACCAGCGGGCACCTCATTTAGGCTCATGGCTCAGATCGGCCAGATCATCGGAGCTGGTAATTCGGAACACATTAAATTATGTAGATATCATTTAATGTTTGGAATAATTTTAGCTGATCAAAGTCTTTATTTACTATTAGGAATGGATGTAAATAATTCATTTCATAGTTGTAATCATTGACAAAAAGAGCTGCAATTCGAATACATCAAGAGCTGCAAATGGAATTCAAATTCATTGTGGAACTGGTAAACATTAATAACTGTTCATTAATAACATTAATAACACGAGATATAGACTAGCCTTGGAGTTTTGTTGGAATGCAGCTTAATATTTCCTAATGTTCACAGACGGCATCCGCAAGTTCGACTTTGGCAACCCAGAAGAAAATCTCCGGCATTACGGAACACTCATGCCACCCCATTACCCGCTGGAGAAGATCACGTGTCCTGTGGCCATCATGTGGTCACAAAACGACATCATCGTAACGCCTGTCGTGAGTTATTAATTATTATTATAACGTCTAGAGGAAAAACAATACGTCTGTCGTGAGTTATTAATTATTACGGTCACGTCTAGAGGAAAAACGTTACGTCTGTCGTGAGTTATTAATTATTATTGACACGTCTAAGAAAAAACGTTACGCCTGTCTTGGGTTACTTACGCTATCGTAAGTTACGCCATCGTCGTTATTTTGCACTCTCAGTGTCACGTCGAGAGGAAACGCAATATTTTTTCTGGACCTTCTTTTGTTTTATTTCTTCTGCATCCGAAAAAAGTTTTCTGCAAGGAACAAATGTTCCTTGCAGAGGAGCCTCTGTCGAGTCTTCTCTCGTTGCAGAGCAAACCTAGGATAGAATGCAAAAATTTTCAAATCCGCTTTCAATGAGCATTAATGTTAGTCATTACTGTATGAAGAAATTATTATTAGAAATTAGCAATATATCTCTCATTTTTTCACGCACAGGATGTTGCAAGAACGGCACGTCGTCTCCCGAACGTGGTCCTGAACTATAAAGTACCTCACTCCACCTTCAATCACGTAGACTTCCTCTTCGCCGATATCGCGCGACAACTCGTCTATGATCCAATACTGAAGCTCTTGGAGTCGCATAAATGATTTAATAGGATTTCAGCTTTGATTCCTTGAGCTGGTTATTCTGAAAGAGAATGGTTTTTAGTCTAGAACGACTTAAAGTCAACTTGGCCGCCTATTACTGATAAGGCTATTTTAAGGATGTGCTTTTATAATATTTACGAATAGTTTTCGCTTCTGGGCAATTATGATTATAACCTGCATTTAATGTTGATTATTAGATGGGTTGTAAGTCCCATGCCAGTGAGACTAGCTTTTAAGGAGGCATGTATACTGCAGTGCTTATTTCTCTCGTTTCATGTTCAGTTAGACCGCCATGAAGCAAATTGCAGTTCCGATTTAAGTCGCGTTTTCGTATCATGAGATCAGCGTTCAATTTTATGCGCTTTACATAAGAGCCGAGTGCACCAATTTTGACAAAAAAAAATTAAACTTCAAGTCTACTTTGTGTAAATTTTGGAAACAAAGAGAGTAGCGTTTGAGAATTTTTTGATCACCTGATCAGCGTGACGTAATTGAAATTCCATGCGCAACTTCCCGCGTCGAATTGATATGTGCGTCAATTATGCGAGGAATTGAATTTTTATTTATTTTCAAACTTATCGATTCTTAATATTTGAAAAACCTGCGTACAAAATTGTTTGTTTGCGGAATTTTTCTGTAGGATCGACTTACTCACATTGACTCAACTATAATGAAGAAAACCGCAAACGAGGTGAACCGCATCAACAAATTAATTTATTCGACTATCTTTGCCGATGTGTCAATTAAATTAATTAATTCGTCGATCACTTTAATTAAAATTGAAGCGCTTCATTGTGGCTGATTCGCATTGGAATTGTGAATCAGCAACTGAATTGCTGTAGTTGACTTTAGATGCTAGTGCTTGTCATGATTTTAGCCAGTGTTGAGCTCCACTATTAGAATCACGAACTCGTCGTAATGAATAGCTGTAACTACTACATGATATTAGTGACGCTTGATCAAACTATTGGAAGCGTTGACTTCGTGCTCTGATGAAATTGCAGGTTTAAAATTATTAAAATATAAAATTGCCTAAGGTTATTTTGCAGCAAATCAAATCGTATTTTATGTGTCAAGAAGTTCTCACGTTACTTTTACGCCAAGAGAATTGGAAAAAGTCTGAAATTTTTCTTAGCATTGATGCCGAATTAATTCAAAGTAAATTTAAATACTTACCTCTAGATTTCTGTCTTCATTTAACGTCAGAATTGGATTTTTTATCGTCAAGCATGTGATATAAATGTATGTAAAAAATGCTGAGCTGGCATTGGTAGTAAGATTTCTACTGTAGTTGATTGTTACTATTGGTAAATTCGTGGTAGGCGAATATGAATTTGTACATATAAATTTTTGTTGGTCTTTAATATGATTAAAATAAGCTAAATGTTAGTAGTCGGTGTTGTAAGGTTAAAAGCAAGAGACGGATTGTGAGTGCTAAACTAAATAATTGGCTTAATTTTAATTTTTTAGACTTCATTTCTATCTGCGAATGATCCAAAAGACAGTTATTTACGATACAATTCATATTCTAAGATTGGATCAGAGAGACATTATGGAGGTAAATTATCAGCCTATTTTTTTTTTTTGCTTGAAAACTTGTTTACTTCAGATCTATTAAAGTGATCATCCATCTTCTCGACTTGACTATCTTCATTAGGAACAAACATGATTAAAAATTGTTCTTACGTTCGCGCAGAAAACATTTTCATGAAGCTAGAATGGTTAATGTTACTCCAGTACTTTCATCAGAAATCAAGTGTATACCAGCTAAAATTCCGGTAATAAATGAGTAATGTTCGTGCTCATTAAATACAAAACATCAGCTAGATAACTCTATTAAATTTAGAGACAGTCTGCTATTCAGAATTTTACCTATCACATTGTAAGAAGCCAGTCAATGTTATCGTTTTCGTACTGGATACGCTAATTGTGAGTGGATAAGGAAACGACGAAATATTAGCGATATTCTTACCCAAAAATAGAATCATGAATAACATCACGGAAAAAGCCAAAATACTTGAATCGAGTGAACATAACGGTTACCAGCGCCTGTTAAAAGTAATTTGTTCAGCCAAACATACACACCATTTCTTCGCACAAGCAAACTCGCGCGCCTCGTGGCAACAGTAGCTCGCCGACACAACTTATGGCCAAGGTTCATTACTGAATCTGTAACAGTCATTATCAAGGAAGCTTCATGGCGATTGCTAAAAGTTTCTTTCAGAAAAATGTTTTTTCTTCGTATATTTTTTTTTTCTTTCAGAAAGAAACAGCCTCTCCGTAGTAAATGACTGCTACCGTGTCAGTAATACAATTTAGAGTGCCATGCATGGTTAGCAGTAACAATAAATTAAATCGTTTGAAAAGATTAAAACAAAAGATAATCCAACAAAATAAACCTACATTTAGAGCACAAGCTCCACCACTCGAACGCACATATAAAGCTATTGGCATATTAAACAATACGAGGCCGCTGGTGACGGCCTGACATAACCTAAGGAGTTATTAATAGGACCAGAGATGACATATGGAACATAGGAGCCATTGAGCAGATACAGTTTGCCTCAGTCGTAAGCAGAAGCAAAGTAAAGCTATACTTCGGTGCCTCCTTTCCAGCCAACAACTTAGGCAAGAACCTACAGACGAGAAATTCGTCTGCTCTTCGAAGCCGACGCAAGAGCCTTCAGGCGAGAAATTCGTCTGCTCTTTAAAGTCAACGCAAGAGCCTTCAGGCCCGAAATTCGTCTGCTCTATAAAGCCGACGCAAGAGCCTCCAGGCGAGAAATTCGTCTGCTCTTTAAAGCAGACGCAAGAGCTTCAGGGCGAGTAATAACGGTCTGTATTCGTCTGATGTTTGGAGGCACATGCACGATGTGCAGCGACCGCCTGTCCTTCGTCTGGGAAGAGGAAGAAGCGGAAGCTGCCGTGGCCGGGACAGGGGCACATCAATATAGGAGGGACATGTTGAAACATTCACAATATTCAGTTATTCGTAAGTAGAGTAGATAAATCCACCGATCATCAGTAGGCGGAGATTTAAAAATGCTAGTGAAACCATAAAGTTGTTCAAAATCGTTTTCGTCATTTGATAATTTTTTTTCGTCAATGTTTCCTGAAAAAATCAATGGGCGATACGACACCGAACCTAAGATAATTAGGGAATACCACGCAATGAACAATTATTAATTGGAAACTGAAATTAACGTCAGGTAATTTACCAGAATCCTGCCACTCTGCCTAGTGTGATCATGAATTAGCAGATACTTCCACGTTTTCAATCTTTCCTTGAGAATTCAAGACAATCGGATGTTAATATGTCAGACTAATTAGATAGATAATAAGCAGCAGTGTTTACAACGTTCACATTACTTTAAATAACCATCAGCTGGTCAATGAAGATGTTGAATCTCAAGTCGCCAATTAGAAAAATATTCAGAAATTAAGTGGAATAAAGACATGTGTCAGGTGAATGTGTTCCCAAAGTTCTGAATAATGGCTACTCAGTGGATTTCATGGTTTAGAATTTTATAATACGATATTTCACAATACAATAACCGTTATTGAGGGTCAAAATGCGAACAATTATGACGAGATGCAAGAATTATGTATAAATTTGTGAGGTCTTAACGTAGTCAAATAAGATGGTATTGTTTTGCTATCAGGTCAGAAATCGCTATCTATACGGATGCTGTCTATAAGAATAAAATTCATACTTGATATTCTGATAAATACATAAGAATTGCAGTCAGATGATTACAAATCAGGTCTTAATGTTTCAACATATTTCTTAATAAATTCAATTCAAATTCCCAATCATATGTGTTATCCCGTAGAATTCAGCCGTTCTCATAAAATGACTTTCAGAATTACACACTTCCGCCGAATTAATAATCTTTCTATAAAAATTCTGAATGGTACGTAAAATCGTACATCGTAATAACGCTAAAAAATACACAATGACTTATTCGACAATTTATGCCATTAATTAATTTAAATGAATAGCGCATCCAATGCCTACGGACAGACACTCAATGACATGCATACGAATTTCAAAAATAGCTGCAACAATAACCCTAAATTTTAATAAAATCTCGAAGAATAAATCTCGTTCAATAGAACTATCAATACAGTTATCAAATGCAATTGTAAACAAAAGTTTTTCTACAATAAAAACTTAGATTCCGGGATGCAGACTCAAACTTCCGTAAGAATACCTTTATAAAAAAAATTATTGTTATGCCAAAGAAACCTTTTCTTAACCTGTCTCTCGATCGGGCACCATAAAAAAATTAATTTTAATGTACCAATAAAAATTTATAAATGACTTTGCCTAGTGCGTTCCAGCTATACTCCATGTAGGTGCTCAAAGCGCAAGCGGTTCTCTTCAATGAAACTGAAAAATTCTTGTTCTTTATAACACAAATAAAGGAGCTGTTGTAGCATTAGACGAGCTATTGTAGTATCAAGTAACCTGATCATGCAGACCTCGTAGGAGTAATTTATCTTTACGTAGACATTTATCAATATCACAACAACATCTCATCCTGGTAATAGTTAAGGTTATTTTGAATTTATAGCTACCATAACTAATTATTCGCGAAGGGATAAACGATTTCACATAAATACTTTTCACATACAAATGAAAGAAAAACTATAACAAATATATAATTTGGAAATATGGAACGAAGGCTTAAACGACTTTGGCAATATTCACTCCTATTTATTTATAGAAGGTAATTTTAATCCAGAGCGCCGCAGGGTGACAAGAGCCCTTAAAAAGGAATCTTAAGCGCAAGGTTCCTTAGTTCTGTTGATGGCCGAGGCTTTAAACAATTTGTTCAACATTTTCTTATGAAAATACAGAAATTCTACAATGTCGTAAACCTTCGTGCGCTACCACGGTCATGCGATAAGCGCCTGGAACCTACATAACAACTCTTATAAATAATCTTAAATTAGCATACTAAATCCTGAGCTATAATTAACGTCAATGTCTGAGAGCATCGCGTGCAGCCAAGCAAGCAGTTCGCAGGCTTTCGCTTTTCTTGAAGTCAATTTCCGAGTAGTTCGCCGCAGTTGCTTCCGAAGCTGCATTCGCTATTTTGCTCGAAGTAGCAACGAGTTTGGTAGCAGCGGCCGACACTTTGGTTGGATCTGATGATAGACTCGTGCTCGATTCGTTCAGACTAGAAGACGATGTTGACATATCAGAATTCGGCATCGCAGGAGAGCTGCATGTCTGGCCGGAACTATGACGTTGTTTTTTATTGCCCTCAGCTCCGTGAACGGCTTGTCTAGGAGGCGTTAAGTCAAGGGAAGCATACACTATATTTTCTTTTGGACGCTGTACAGCAGTCGTCTCCGGATGTGTACTGCCATATTGTGGGCGAGCTGTGCTGCATACAGATGGCTCAGAAGGAGAGGTGGACTTGGGTTTGGTAATTTTTTGAATGACTGAAGGTACATTAATTATACTAGAGCTCAATGAACTAGGAACTGTCCCCGAACACGAGTCGGTATTGGTTGATGTGCTTGAGCCTGAACCGTGAGACTTTCGATTTGCGTGTTGCTGTTGCTGCTGCAGTCGAAGGCCTACATTGACTACGGTACACGTGGAGGAAGCCGAAGACATTCCACCTTCGCTTAATGATGACTTAGAAGAAGATGCGAGGTTTGGTGAAGTTGGGGGAGAATACGACATGGGGGACGAGCAGGCAGAGAGCGCCCTAGTCTCCCCATCAGATCCCCTGCGTGGGACGTCTTCACAAGAATCTAGCCTTGCAGAATCTTTGCCATTGTGACTCTCAGGCGCTCCTGGCCCGCTATGGCTACGGAAACGTTCTCCATAACTACCACAGCAACTATTACCTACTTCGTTAGCTACGGCGGACGGGATGTTAATAGCCCCAGGCTTCGAGGCAGAGACGAGGTTACTCGCACATTTTTCGCTAACCATCTGTAACGCGGGAAATTCATTGCGATCGCGAGGTTCAGCGGCCGCGTCATTAAGAGTAAGCTGCTCCAAAGGCACCGAAGGTTCCATACGCATTCCAACTAAAGCCTGAGGGAGAGCAGGCCTCTTCACTACATTCGAGGTACTCGTAGAAGAGCTGCGTTCACGTGACTCAGGCGATGAGTCAACACAAGTCGAAGAACCGCACGAACAACTGCTGCTTGAAGACGCCGAGAATCGATTGTTTTTCCTGATGTCCATATCAAGATACTCAGACGGAGAAGTGATGGGTGACCCAGAACTTACAGGGTCAGTGTTAAGAATTTTTCGCTCCTCTACAGGTGCAAGTGCTGCCGGTTTATCGCTCGCACTTTTAGAGCTAAAGTTAAGCAATACTAAATTCTTGCGCTCCATGACCGGCGGACACATGTTAACGTAGTTAGCGGTGTCCGGAGCATCTTTCCGTTCTGAGGAACCAGGTTTGGCTTCTTCTAGGGACGATTCTGTAAGTCTTCCCATCTCGGACTGTGACTGGTTATTCTTTAAGAAAGAAAGAATACTATTGTCGACTTGCGGCAATTTTCCATTCGGCAGTAACCTAGAGCACGGATGTCTATTGCAAAAACAATTACAACTACTATTCCTTAGACTAATACCGGTAAAGAGAGGGTTAGATGACAACGACGTAGTAGAACGGTCGACGTCTCCCCGAGAATAATTGACGTTCATTTTGAGAGGGTCTGACGATTTATTCTTAAATTGAGACGAGTCGCCAGCTGGCCTCAGCTGCTGATGCGTGGACCCAGCGCAGGATGAGCCCATGAACAAGTAGCGGGAATCGGCACAATAACAGCTGCACGGTGGAGGAAGATCATAACATCGGCATCCAAATTTGCCATCACCGAAACATGGACTATGTAGATCCTGGTTCAAGAGATTCCGTGGCGCGCCTCCGCTGCCGGAATTCATCAAAGGATCCAGCGTCGAGTAATTTTCATTTTCTAAAGGGTCGTCATCCCGGAAACTTGGGTTGTCCATGCTCTGCATGAAGCTGAAGTAGTTGATCGGTGACAACAGTTGAGAATTGCTCGACGACATGCTAGTTAGGAGGCCCAGGGAACCCGGGGTTGTCGTGAGACCCGACGACGGAGACTGCGAAGCAGCTTGAATGGCCGAGTCTCGCGCCTCTTTACTTTTGCTCCGACCGAGACTTGGAAAAGGACTGCTCGAATTACGGCTGACTTTCGGCAGCGGACTTCCGGTTGGTGAAAGAGATTTCATTGAGGAACTTTGCGAATTTTTTCGAGTGAGGAAAGAAGAAATGGAAGCTAAGTGACTAGAACCGCGGTTTCTCAAAGACTCTGCTATGCTCTCACCACCGCTAGGATCAGATTTCTTCCTCTTACTGTTTTCTTTAATGGATTTATTCCGATTTTTCTTATTTTGTTTCGAAGCGTTTTTGCTATCCAACTCATGAAGATAGCCAATATCTGATGGTTCTTCTTGCGGCGATGGCAATTCAATTGACGATTTAAGGGACAAGGAAGCTGAAATTTTTCTAGGCCTCACAACATATGACCCCGAAGAAGATGAGTCAGCACTAACACTCAGACCCGTACTACCTTGCGTCATGTCTACGTAACCATCGCCGCCAGACCCTAAGATGGACGAAACCTGTTCTGAAGGTTTCCATCCTGCTGTCATCTCTAAGTAACCGCCGTCAGGTGGAGCAGTGGATCCAGCGTAACTTGGGTTTACTCCATGGGATGATTTTGTAGACATATCAACATAATCAACACTAGAAGTTGAAGACTGAGACAAACTAGCACCTGGTCGCATGATTAGATACCCAGCGGGAGGTACATCGTTATTGATGCTCGTGTTGCTGCGTGGACTTTGATTAGAATCCAGGTAGCCAGCGAGCGGAACATCGCTATTAGTGCTCGTGTTGCTATTATTGCTGTTATTGCTGCGTGGACTTGGGTTAAAGTCCATCGGGTAATAGTCCGAATGTCCACCAGGAATTTCAATACCACCACCGCGATTAGCTGACATGGATTGCGCGTCGCCTTCAGAGACCCGCTTCTTGCCTTTAGTGCTCGATCGATGTTTGACGAACGTTTGTTTGAAACGTTCGATGCTGCGACTCTTCTTATCTTTTGAGTCGTCGGAGTTCGAGATGTGGTCGTAACTTTTGTGGTTCTTAGAGAAGTCTACGAGCATGAGGCTATCTTTCTGCTTGTCGTGACTCCGAGACGAGAAGAGGTTACGAAAATACGAGCCTGACGTGTCAGACCACGAACGGCTCGCACACGAAACGCCCAGCATGGGCGTGCTGTAAAATGAAAAATAAATTAGTCACAGAGAAATGGTAGGAAAATATTCAAGGAATCTAAGTATAAAAACGATATTAAGCGCGCTATCAAGGCGCCTCGTAACAAGAAGAGTTCAATAGGCAATCAAAGATAAAACATTTAATATTAATAGCGATAAAACCAATATTGAAGTACTATACTGCAATTGAAGTGCTACTACGGACTGGAATGGTATTCGTAATTTGCGATGTTTTTAATGATAAGTTCACAAAAAAGTGACCAAAGCGTGCTTCCTAAGTCATAACATTAAAGAAATTAAATATTCAAAACATGACATTAAAGGAACATGTCGACATTTGTAATCATGCACGCAAGTTTTTTTCAGAACTCAGCCCAGACACCAGCATTCTTAAACTTAAAAAAATAAACGAGGTGATCGAAGCATAGTGTGAAAAACATGAATGATATGAGCACCGATGGTAAGAATGGAGGGATGGAAATATGTTTTTGGTCAGCTGGCGTAAGTAAAACACACGAAAAAAAAACAGAGAGGACTTGCTGTATTAATTCAGTTAATTTTTTAGGTCCAATTAGTCTCTGGCGTAGTAAAGAAAGAAGCAACACATTTCATGCATCTTCGTAGACGTTGTTAGTAATGAATTGAAGCTCGCATGATGGAAGCTAACTTAGAACTGAACTTAAAGTTAATCATAGAGAAATACAAATAAAAGAGACATTTTGACAGAGCACCTTTTAGTTAAAACAAATATACGAAGCACAAAGAAAAATGAAATACACATGAAATATTACATACTGTGACGGTAAACAAAACAAACATGAAATATCGCAAACCAAATAAACGTCCAAAATTGGATCGCGAACCAAACAAACATCAAATTAAATTTTGTTTAAATAAACAAATGAACACGCAGGAAACGAGCTGCAGTGCCTACAGATATCAGTAGCTTCACTGCGCCAGTATACAATTGAGAGCAGACTGGACAATAAGATGCTATCGCGAAGTCTAAAGAGCTGAACTAAATCAACATCATTATTGATTGCAAAAATGACTCGTGTAGTAGTTTGGCTGCTCTGACATGCATGACGGCTTGAAGAATGGGTCAAGTTTGAATAAAAACATGGAAGAAATCATCCGATCGGAAATGAAACCTTCAAGAAGCGATTCAGTGGTTTATGAGGAAATTAAGACACTATGAGTCTTTAGAAACACGGCGCTTCTCAATGAAAATGATAGGAAGTGAATTTAAGTTGCACGCGATAGTTTAAACCCTATGTAAGCAGTCGAAACTTGAGCGATGAAATGGTAAAATTTCACACACGGCTACGAATTCATACTATTTACGAGGACTGAACAATAGATGAAGAAAAACAATAAAATAAAGCAGAACGCGTTCACTCAAAGTACCATCAACCTGACCCAACCAAGAAAAACTACACCAGTGATATTTACAGAGAACCATTTATTTTTCCATATGTGAGCATAGCGCAATTTAATTACTGGGTGCAAAATGAACGAGTATGTCATTGAATAGACTAGATTCTCGAAAAAACGATATCTAGGTCTTCGAAGTTTAAAGTGGATGCCCGAGAAGATCGAAGAAAAGACCGAAAATTCCAGCATAGTCGAAAAAAAGCAAGGGAACGTCAATGTAGTGTTACGAGGGTAAAGCTGAAATGTTCACAAGATCTATCATTCAGGAGGCTCAGGATAACCAAACCAATGGTCGAATAAATCATAAAAATGTCGAAAGGAATGTTGAGCAGGCAGTATTTAAGTGTACATAAAGCTGGAAACATTTTAGTACCGGTCCTTCCTCAAGAAGCAGGGAATGAGTAGCAGAAGAGGAAATAGACTAGAAAGAAGTTTAAATGAAGACGAGGTTTCAGGGAGAATATAAAGAAGTGTTCAGATGGCCTGAGTCCAGTTCTCAGGGAACTGAGAAAGTAAACTTGTAGCAAAATGTTTACCTCGAGCTCTTGGACTTGGCCGCTCGCGTTCGTCCATGAACGCCGGTGATGCCACCGGACGCGGGGCAAAACTCCGGATAAGGAGTAAAGGAAGAGCACGAAGAACATGAAGACGATGGAGAAATGGTTCTCGGTCCTCCGCGTGGTGTGATGAGGGAATAGTGTGAATTGTTATGCGAGTTGCCAACGTAATTGCTGTCGTTGATGCTCCGGAAATGATTGAGGAATCTAGAAGCTCCGCTGATGGGAGTAGAGCAAGCAGACGAGGTCGTAGATGAGGTTCCTCCGCCGCTCGATCCATATAAATTCGTCGTTTCGGCTCCCGATGTTTTTGTCGATCCCGTCAGGCTGCTCAGAAATTTCAGGCTCACGCGGGAACCCACGGAGAAAGCCCGGGTGCGTGGCGGCTCGAGCGGAGCTGCATCGGGTCTGCAGAGAGCGAATAAACTTTTTTGCAACTAAAGAAACTAATTCTCAAGTTCAGGACGAAACGAAGAACCGGAAACCGTATCCGCAGAAATAATTTAGGCTACGCTATGCTATTGCCCTTCCACCATCGAGGGTTTAAGTCAACCTGAATCTTATGCAGATTTGGATTCCACAGATAGCATATTCGGCAAAATTATCTTCGCAGAGCTCACGATTGTCTGGATACTCTTGCGAATCAGGCCCCAGAAACAAAAGGCTGGCTTCAATGATGTCAACATACGACAATAATACGACATTTGTACGACAGATTTGTCCACACTGCTACCGAATCGGACTAACCCAGAATCCGAATTTTAATGCATTACAGCACAGTTTGTTTCGAACCCCATTATGCATCGGACTATAAGAAGAAAGTTATTGGTACAAAATTTAGAATCCTCTCTTGAATTCACAGACAGCTCATTCCAAAATAAAAATTATTCTCTCAAATGGCGTTGCACTTTGTTTCATTTAACTTAATGATTTTGACTATGCAACGATTTTGATCTCCAGACGATTCATCGACAGCAAACTACGATTTTGATATCTCCCGACGACTCATTGACAGCAAACTAACTCTCAATTCCCGACTGAATACCGTTGGACAAATTACATGTTTAAAACCACCTATTTCCTTCAACAGGTGGATATAAGCACGTTGATTATGCACCTTTCTCACATTAATGAGCCGATTTAACGTGCGGACAGCAGGAATAATCAATTTTCTGTAGCGCCAATGAAAACTTCATTACAAAGATCAAGACGACGAAATTAACTTAATTTCTCAGCAGCGACGCAATTTAAATTTGATGTGATACGCATAAAAGTCAAGAAATATTGCAAAAATTTTGTGTCTTCGCATCAGAGGCCGAGTAATGCAGTAAAAGTTAACCGTACATCTCAAGTTCTTAAGGGAAAATGCCAAATGTTGCCTTCGTACTGTATGCAAAACAACGAACACGAAGCCCTGGGAAGTTACGGAGAGTAGTGGCACGCTAGCATCTCTATTACTAATTTCCCAAACTCTGTACAGTCAACACGATCACAGCTAAAGCGTACACGACAGATAACGAGTAAGCAACGTTGTCGCTGCCGTCCAGTAATGCAGCAGCACAGACACAACTTGAACAGCCAACACACATGGTGAGAATTCGCTAATTCTTTTGCAATACAACCCACGAGCTTAACCCTCTACCGCCTCCGCCAGACATGAGTAACAGGAGCAATATTGTCACAAGCCTACTTCCCAAAAAGGGTACGTTGTTAGTGAGCGCAAAATGACTTGCAATGATGGCTGCCGCCTCGTACGGCAACTTTAAAATGTTCTCTGTTGCGTTAAAACGTCCTCAGGTTGCTACACTCAATAATTTAAGCATAATTGTTGTTCCCGGAGAGTGACATACGGCGGTAGAGGGATAATTTCGAAAGCTCATATACAAACATGAAATTGGTACTCATTTCCAGAAGCATTAAACTTCAAGAACGAGTACATAGTCTATAATAAACTGTCAACCAACAAATCATAAATCGTGCATTCATTCCGATATTGTCAACTGAATCAATCCTGAATCACCAACTCTCAATAATATCAGGACAACGATGGGTGCCAGATAGTGAATAACGAATCACTTCAAGATAAACGCTCGACAATTGATAGCTAAAAGAATTCAAGTTGTTGAACAGAAGAACAAAAGGGTCAGGGAGATGGCACAATTATCAAAGGAATTCCAGGCTGTTATTTAGCATCAAGACGAAAGCGTTACACGGCAGCACAATTTGTCGAGCCAAACAAGTGTTAGCAACAATTATTGAATGAATGAACAAGTTAACAATGATTGAATGTTTATGATCACAGCAAGATGATAGTGAGATGAGATTCAATTGTTATCGAATATCTCGATACATGAAATTTCACTGCAAATGTGAAGGCAGTCACTATTAGTTTGTTTATGATGGAACAAAATTCTGGACGAACGAATTCTGAATAGCGAAAAAATAGAACGATTTTTTCCAGTTTCAGACAAACAGTGAGAAATATTTTCATTTTACCTTTTCTTCTACTGTGTACACGAAAAATATAATTCTCAAGTGTGGAAAAAATACCGAGCGTAAGACGTACCTGTTTTTACGCTTGATGAAGTCTGGTCGACTGCCAACTGAACTCGTCCTGATGGGCCGCTCTTGGTTGGTGAGGTCTTCATCGTCGTGTTGGTGAGGTAGAGACTCACTGTGTTGATGTAGTGGCGGGTAGTGATGATGTAAATGATGCAGATGCATAGGATGTGATGACGGTACACTGCTGCTCAGAATAGACGAGGAACATCCACGTGAGTTAGCGCCACTACGCAGAGCAGACAATGGAGGAGTGTCCAAAGTCCTCGATGAGTCGAGGGCTCCAAGGCTTATGGAAGGTACAGAGCCGTCCACCTGATCGTCCATGTCCATCTGGTCTGCCAAGTCCATGTCCAAATCGTGGTCGAGAGAGTCGAGACGATACCGAGCGCTGCCTTCATCGTCTTGACTTAACCGCACGCTTCCTTCGTCATCCTGCCTCAGTTGGGCACTTCGGTCGTCTTCAATGGACGCGCCGTCCAAGATATCGTCCACAACCTCTTCGACATCAGGGATAGAGTCTGTCTCCATGCTGGCATTGCTGCGCGTCAGTATGGCCTCCTCAGCCAAGGATATCCGCTGACAGCATCCAAGCATATTGACGTTCTTCTCGTGCTGATGTAGTGAGCTTGTTGATGAAGGCTCCTGATTCTGTTCAGAGGGATTTGAAGGCTCCAGCCGATGTTCAGACGGAGTTTCCGCTCCAGAATTGGAAGAGCTACCGACACTGCCTGGCGGCGATTCTGTGAAGCAAGAAAATTGTTTTTAATAGAACCGCGCGTAAATTAGAAATGCTCAATAAACGATGATGAGGTACAGAGTAAGTCGGTAACTTACTAAATTGCAATTACAAAAATATAAATTATTCTTGAACACAGTTTTACATCACAAAACAGCAGGTAAACCTAAACAAAATATAATTACTATTAAATAAAACTTTTATAAGTAAAAATCTTGTTGTTGTTGTTGTAATTGCCCATCCTGGTAGTGGCGACTAGGTAAGGGAGGGGGTGATAGGTCAGTTTTTCCGGGCACTTTAATGCCACTGGTAGTTTCACGACCATCATTGGCTCGTTGACCCGCCAGAACCATTTGATTGCATTACACAACACTCTGGACAAGCCAGGTACTCATTTATCAACCAGAGTTGGATGAATGGCTGCGTTGACCATGAGCTGAGCTTCCCGGAAGCACTTGTCCTCAGTGGGACTCGAACCCGGGAGCTGGGTGCGAGAGACAGAGTCTCTCACCACTGCACCACCACAGCTCTAGTAAAAAGAAATCCTCAGTAAAAATCTTACCGTCTGCGACGCTGGATGGAATGGGTTTAGGAAGCGTTGCGTTTGCTGGGGCCATGTTGAGGTAATCGCCGTCTTCCTTCCCCTCACTGGGCGATGATGGGACAGTATAATCCATGGTTCCTAATTGAGAAGTGTTGCTCGCTGATTGAGAAGTGTTGCTTCCTAATTGAGAAGCGTTGCTCCATGATTGAGAAGTGTTGCTCCCTAATTGAGAAGCATTGCTTCCTAATTGAGAAGCGTTGCTCCCAAATTGAGAAGCGTTGCTCGCTGATTGAGAAGCATTGCTACCCGTAGTAAAGTGACTTGCGTTCGTGCATTCGTGGTCATGATAATCATCACAGTGATGATGGTGGTGATGGTGATGGTGAAGAGAGGAAGGCTGACGCGATAACAATAACGCTTCAGTCATGTCTACGTAGTTCCCTGTCAAAGAGAAATAAACTCGTTATTTTGTGAATAAGCAACCGTCAGTATATAACAACACCAACCATATAAAACAAAACGTATAGAGTCGATGGCTTGAATCGGGTGCCATCGATTCAAGATGGCACCCGATTTTTTGGACCCGATTTTTTTGGACCCGATTTTTTGTGGTCACAACCACTGTGACCACAAAAAATACACGAATTCATACATCGTCCGGCAGGGAAGTATGGATAATTTGATCGGAACGACACTAGAGGAGGGACAATCTAAGAGGTAGTAACCTTGATCGGGGTAAAGAATGTGGTTGTTATCTGTTCGTAAACAGGATCCATTTCAGCGGCAGTAGAGACGTGGCCGATTGAGCATCGTGTGTTCGAGTTCAACATGTTCATTAAAAAAATATAACTCAGTACTCACTGCCGTGACAGAGAGCGCATTTTCTCGTCGACAAAAACGTGATCACGAACGGACAGACGGACCGACATGACGAGCACAATAGCGCTTTTTTCTATAAATGAGAAAATGCGCTAAAAAGGCTGCTCTGTCATTAAAATACGGGCGTTCTTGGAATCATTTCAACGTTGGCCAAACGAGTTCCGGAGTTTGTCACGATAATGAAGCGGAAAAATAACTATAAACGAACTAGTCCTTTAAGATCCGAAACTAAACGATAAGGTGATAGAATAGTTGCATGAGCATGGCGAGCTTCCATTGTAAATTAAAGATTATCAAGATTAAATCAATGAGATTATGTGCAAATCTGGACAAAATTTATTGTGGGCAAAGTTTAGCTATTCACATTGAGATTATTGCCGCGAGTATTGAAATAAGAGTAAAAAAAGAGAAGTAAGAGTAAAAAAAAGAAGTAAGAGAAATTTAAAGAAGTTTCTAGTTTAAATAAATAATAAAATATAAAATAGTTTCTAGTTTAAATAAATAATAAAAAATTTACCTTCACTCGCGTGCGGTGATGTCATCATCACGTAGCTGTCGGGAGCTGCAATAGCAAGAAATAAATGTTGCTTGAATGACACTTGGAAAAAATGAAGAAAATTCAAGTAAATAAATGTCATCGGTAAGAAAGGAAAACTTGCGTCAAGGAGACAAATTATTAAAAAAAGTTTGCACAAAATAAAAAAAGATGACAGTTTTCTCTCAGACTGAACCTTCTTACGCGTGAACCTGAAGGTGTAATAAACTAGGAATGTAAAATAAGCGGACATTTTCTAATAGCTCGATAAGAAGGATACAAAGTTATTTAAAGTTAAGTTAGTTACCCCAAGTTAAAAGTTTGAAGCTTTTTGACATACGGGTGCAGGAGATTAACTTTAGGTTAACTTAGCACCTATAAAACTGAGCACTGAATCATTAGATGAGATAACGGATCGCAGTGATGAGATATGATGAATCAATAGAGATAACGGATCGCAGTGATGAGATATGATGAATCAATAGAGATAACGGATCGAAGTGATGAGATGTGATGAATCAATAGAGATAACGGATCGCAGTGATGAGATATGATGAATCAATAGAGATAACGGATCGAAGTGATGAGATATGATGAATCAATAGAGATAACGGATCGAAGTAATGAGATGTGATGAATCAATAGAGATAACAGATCGCAGTGATGAGATATGATGAATCAATAGAGATAACGGATCGCAGTGATGAGATATGATGAATCAATAGAGATAACAGATCTAAGTGATGAGATAACGGATCTAAGTCATGATATATATTTCTCACCTTCATGGTGGGTGGCGAGATGGCTTCCACCGCCTTCCACAGGAGGAGGTCCAAGACCTCCTCTGCCTTCCTCCAGCACTCGCGGGGAACTGAAAAAAAAAATCTAAATTAGGCTCATGCTTTAATTTTTCAAAATGTTTCATTCTATCATCATAGGAATGGCAGCAGGTTATTTTTTATACCAACTTACTTAATATTGTAATTGAAATGTGGCGAATGTTCGCATTTCTTTCAAAATTAAGAACTACTTCAAAAGAATCAAGCATTATTATTATTAAGTTTATACATTTTTACAATCAATTCTGTTGCAGTGTTTATTTAATTTATTCCAAAGTAGTTATTCAGGGACATTTCAAATTGGAAACCAAAATTTGTCAAAAATTTCTACTGTAATAAAAATTAATATCTGACTTCTAGAAGTCTTAGGTGATTACGAGGACTAGAATTGACCTCATCCTAGAAAAGCGGTTCATAATTACGAAAACTTATACAACAAATACAACGGTACCAGGAATACGAAAAAATATGCTAACTAAAGGCTTCCAAACCATCGAGCCTCCAAAAGCAATTGTCTGATAAAAACATACAGAAAATTTTATTTTTGAGATAAAACACTTGCTAAGTAATCAACCGTGAACCACAACTATGCCGAGTTACCAGAAGGTGACTTGCATATTAAAGGGCTAAAAAATTGGCTAACCATCATAAACAAATACACATTTAATATAATTTCATAAAATAAAAGAATAAATTGACGAACTAGTTGAAACCTTGAAGCTAAAACAAATAGACATTTAATATAAATTCATAAAATAAAAAAATAAATTGAACTAATTGAAACCTCGAAGCTATAAAATACACATTTACTATAAATTCATAAAAATAAAAGAATAAATTGATGAACTATTTCCTTGAAGCTATCAGGCGCACACGTACTGATGTTGGCATCCAATTCTGGGACTGCCGTGTACGTCGCACGTATTGGCCCAGCCAACGAGGCCGGGCCCTCCGTGCCCGGTCCCACACACGTGCCCAGGGGCACCGTGACTGGTCCCGCAGACATGCCCAAGGGCACCGTGACTGGTCCCGCAGACATGCCCAGGGGCACCGTGACTGGTCCCACACACGTGCCCAGGGGCACCGTGCCCGGTCCCACACACGTGCCCAAGGGCTCCGTGCCCGGTCCCGCACACGTGTCCCAGACCCACGTGCCCGCACACGTGCCCAGGGCCCCCGTGCCCGGCCCCACAAACATGTCCTGGGACCGGTATGCGATGACCATGAGGTTTGCACGGTAAGCTTCCACTGCGATCGCGGATCGTGTAATTCGAGGCTGTAGGGCAAAAATAATATACTACTTGCTATAAAGTACGAAAACAAATGAATATTATCAAGACTATGCATGTTATTCTAAAGAATACATGAATATTATCAATAGTAATTTGTTTCAAGATTTTTATTTAATTAACAAACTGCTAAGATTCAAAGTTCTTCACAGATGAATTGAACAAAAATGATACAGAAAACTTGTACGAGTATCGACTGCATCTTAAAATTCTTCAGTTTTGAATCGAAACACTTCAGTATTGCTTGACAACCTATTAAATAATATTTCAGCACGAAAAGATCCAAACAATATTTAGAAATGAACATCATTCCAATTAGTCACCTGTAGTGATTAACTTATTCGCATCCACTCGTGACAATAATTACCTACTTCCACTCGCTTCTAATTGAGTGAAAATATATTTTTGAGAGGTGATGGAGGTTTTAATTCCTCGGATTTAATTCAGTAGTAAATTAATTACCCTTGTTGTAATAAAAAATACTTCTACGATAAAAACATTTATTGGTGCGTACATGAATTAGATTACTGACCGTGTGTAGCAGACATGGAGGAAGTGCGGTCTCGTGGAGTAGATGATGAAGTAGATGTGCAAGTAGAACCTGGGCATCTGAATGCCGCTGAGCAGGTGAAAGTTGTCGAGCAAGCAGGATTTGATGTACACGCGTTAGGAGGAGCTAGTCCCATCGTTTTAGACAAGTTCATCATCACTCTGTCGGAAATGATACTTTGATGAGTTTTGGAACACGTTTGAACCGCTGAGTAGGTATATATTTCTTCACGAATGAAAATATAATAAAATAATATAATCCAATTCTTAAACAATAATTGCTCTCCCATTAATGGTATGTCAATATTATCAAATTAAATTACACGAATGGTCTATATTTCTCGCATGGGTTAGATCAAAGCTCCCACGACACGATAGCTAAGCCTCTTATGAACCAATCAAACCTTAGGTAGGTACACGTAATGGTTACATACAGCACTCGGCATCCGCGAAATACACAATATTAAATACATTCACCGACAATACAACGATTCACATACCATCGCTAACCATGCCACAATATTTTATATATTTAGCACCGCCATTGCAAGTCATCGGTTCGTGTCTGCACTAGTCTCACTTAGTCTGGACTAGTCTCACTTAGTCTGGACTAGTCTCACTTAGTCTGGACGCTAATTCCTACACTCTAGTAACAAGTGATCCAGATACCAATAACATCAATAACAATCAAAGCATCTTTAGATAAAATATTAAGCAAATCGAGCCTAACCTGGCGACGACGTTGTAGATGTTGGCTGCGATGTTGCTATCCTGAGTTGTAAGCCATAGCCTGCCGCTGCCGGTGGAAGCCATCCTTCCCATCTCGAGGTAGAAGAACATGTTGTTGTACGCCACCATCCTGATGGTGTTCAGGGCGATGTCCGTCTTTTTCATGCTCTCGTCCATGGAAACGATGGACAGAGACCGCTTTGTGAGGCAGAGGTAGGAATGGCCGGCGGCCACCCCTCCGTTGCTGCCTCCTACACCTCTCGTTTGGACCTCTACGTGCCACACGTGTTCTGGAAATTATACAAATTAGTACAGAAATATTTATCATATTTATCACTGATCTCTCTTATAATAACTCCAAGCTGCTAGTGCAGCGATCGTGATAATCTGAAAAAATGAATAGAAATACTGTGCAAATAAATAGTCATTCTATAACCTACTATCAGACAAATCAAACGAGTCATTTACCTGTTATACAATATCGGGAACAAAAACTATGTCCTATAAAAAACTGATGAATTAAGATGAATAAGTGAGACCCTCACCCCAGTCGGATGTGTCGGCGACGCTCTGGATGGCTCTCAGCCAATCGTTCATTTCGTCGGCGCTGGCAGCGACCAAAGTACAGACGTCGTCCTTGACGTAGAGGGAGAACGCATTGGCTCTCTTGCTGTCCGTCTTGGGCTCCACGCGTATGTTGGAGTTAAACAGATATTGCCTGTAACAGAGACCTGGTTTAGACACCACGCAGGTGTTAGTTGAACAGATATTGCCTGTAACCGAGACATGGTTTAGACACCACGCGGGTGTTGGAGTTGAACAGATATTGCCTGTAACCGAGACATGGTTCAGACACCACGCAGGTGTGGGAGTTTGATATTGGAGTTGGGTCAGGAATTGAGAGCAACCAAAATTTTGAGACTTTGAGGCAGTTCATCAGCCACTATTTTGAATCAAGATTCAACCAGTATCACCAATAAAAAAAACACGAAGTCTTAGTAACTTTCAAATGTTAATCTTTATTTTACCGGAAACCGTTCTCAGACTTCAAACTGGTTTTCACGACTTGGCAGTATTTTCGAGAATAACAGGATCGGAATTTTGATAATAGTCAACTTTAGATATGCAGCCGCTTTTTGGTTTATGGATATCATTTGCTGAATAACTTTCAACGATTATTAATTTTCTCTTAATCATCACCATGATCATTGCAATTCCTAATATTACTCAACGATGAACACCACCGTACATGAAACAAACAAGTAGGAATAATAAGAAGGGATAGAATTACATTATTACTAGGAACATTCTATCGATTGAGTAGTGCCACCTCTATACAGCTCGTATCTACCGGCCAAGCATTTGACGTTGAACCAACGTTAATTCAACGTTTAAACGTTGAATTTACGTCGATTGAACGCTGTTTCAACGTTATTTGCCTAGAGAGCGTAAAATAAGATTACTAACTTTTTAGGCGGGAGTTTCTCAAGGAACTTTGACTCAGAGTCGTAGATGGCAAAGGTGGCCGGCTTCGGCGACGACTGTTGACAGCGTAGGACGAAATATCGACTCCGCTGCCCCTGTAAAAAAAAAACATAAAAATTAGTGACATGTTTTACACTCGCGTCCAGAACGCGCTTATACGCTTACCGATGCCGACGATGTTACTTATTTTGTGTGTAATATGTATTCTAAATAACAATGTTATAAATGTAAATTTAAATATTACTCACGATGGCAATGTCGTTTATGTTGCCGTCGTTTACGATGTGTAGGTAACTTTAATTCACAATGTAAATGTTATTAATGCGTTTTCGCTATTCAGGGTATCCATATTACCGATGTGATGCTGGATAACATTGATAATTATATCGTCAGTGTCAGCGTAGTTGACGTCATGGATCATTATTACATTAACTAAGACATAGATGATAGCATCATTTTATTCAAGTATTAATTCCATATTGACCATAGTTAATCCATAGTTCCATAGCAATCCATAGTTTTTAAAATCCATATTATCCTTAATATCAGTACAAGTGAACGTTCAAATATGATCTAAATAAATACACATTGAAGCTGTTTCTTCTAAATTTAGACAACATGCAGCCCAGCAACCAGGAATTACGAAGATCCCTCGTCGCGCAGCCCAGGAGTTAAAAATAGCACGTGCTGCGCAACCCAGCAGTTGAAAACAACACGTGCTGCGCAACCCAGCAGTTGAAAAAGCAGCCCAGGAGTTGAAAATAGCACGTGTTGTGCAGCCCAGGAGTTGAAAATAGCACGTGTTGTGCAGCCCAGGAGTTGAAAATAGCACGTGTTGCGCAGCCCAGCAGTTGAAAACAACACGTGCTGTGCAGCCCAGGAGTTGAAACTACGAGAATTAAGTGTTGCGCAACTGGAGAGACGGAAACATCCCGTGTTGCGCCGCTCGAGAACTGGAAATATTATTTAATGCGTAGCCCAATTAAGAGCTAAAAATATTACGCGCTGCGCAGCCAAATTGCTAAAAACTCTTGTAAAAATGCACAAAACTTGAAATTATTGTATATATGCCGCTCACGCATCAGCTAAATCTATAGACGTGTCCCTTACTAAAAATAACTCGTGCTAATATGCATAAAACTTGAAATTATTGTATATATATACCGCTCTGGAGCTAAAACTAATAACGTTTCCCTTCATGATCTAATTATGTCCCGTCTTATCAGAAGAGTGAGTGAGGCTGTAATACAAGAACTTCCTTACTCTCCCAAAATAATTCTGTCTGATCATTTTGCAGAATATAAACGGGTTCAGTATCAAACGTAAAGACTTATAATAAAACGAGACTAAAAAAATTATTCACGGTTGAGGACACGGCACAAAATGAGGGACACGGCACCCCAGGTACCGGGACGTTGAGGTGACATATGGCACCCCAGGTACCGGGACGATGAGGGACACGGCACCCCAGGTACCGGGACGATGAGGGACACGGCACCCCAGGTACCGGAACGTTAAGGTGACAGACATGGCACCCCAGGTACCGGGACGTTGAGGTGACATGGCACCCCAGGTACCGGGACGTTGAGGTGACATGGCACCCAAGGTACCGGGACGATGAGGGACACGGCACCTCAGGTACCGGGACGATGAGGGACACGGCACCCAAGGTACCGGGACGATGAGGGACACGGCACCCAAGGTACCGGGACGATGAGGGACACGGTAAGGGACGTTCTTGACTTCACTAATTGCTCTCTCGACGGCCTCATGCTTACGACAACACGGGACTCTTGAAGGCATAGCAAGAGAGATTTCCCTTTAGATAGAGAACACTTCAGAATATACATCATCCAAATGTTTAATTTTGATGAAATTGCCCTCGTCAAAATTCCAAGCTTGAGATTTGCCTCAGATAGAGAACACTTCAGAATATACATCACACGATGATTTAAATTTGATCAAACGATTTGAATTTGATCCCAAAGTGCCGAAGGTTTGATGTCTCCATAGTGTGACACAGGTTGACCCTACACTGTAATGTGGTCCGATCGTAACTATTCCTTCACAGATGAACAAATAAACTAATTAGAATAACGTATAATCTTCAGCGGCGACCTATTACATAAAGAACAACAGGGCATGAATGTTTGTTAAACTTTATAACGCGTAACATAAACAACACGTGGTATGAATGGCATTATTGGTAGCCAACATTCCTACAGCTCCTACAAGTTAACGAACGACCGACGCAGTGACAGCCAACAGCAGTGCGGCATGCGACGAGTAAACATGTGCTGATAATAACATAAATAAATGCGCAGCATAAAAGCATGAAGAAAGGCGCTGCATAAAAGCACGAATAACGGCGCTGCATAGCACAAATAAAATACCCATAAAACAACAGCACAATTGACGGAGCTCTAAACAACTGCACAAATAACAAAGCTATAAACAACTGCACAAATAACGGAGTTCTAAACAACAGTACAAATGAAGGGACAAACCCAAAGCGCAAGTAACGACACAACAACAGCACACAATAACAGTAATTGCATTGAATATGAGTACAAATAGCGACGTTGAAAAACAAATAACTATATACGGGTAAATCACATAAATAACGCAACTCAACGCCACAAAATACGACATAGTGAAAACTAATTTTATTTGTACAAAGTTCAGTCTGGTACAGAGATACGCTATGGATGTGTAAGCAGCAGCAATAAAAGACCGCACAAAGCTGCAAAAAATGTAAATAAAAGACGACTTTTTAGGCCGAGACCGCAGCGCGCGTTAGGTTCCGTTATGCCGCATTCCTGGCATAGCTGCGTGTTGTATGTATGAACTGCTGCGTGTTGTATGTATGAACTGCTGCGTGGTGCATGCATGAACTGCTGCGTGGTGCATGCATGAACTGCTGCGTGGTGCATGCATGAACTGCTGCGTGGTGCACGTATGAACTGCTGCGTGGTGCATGTATGAACTGCTGCGTGGTGCACGTATGAACTGCTGTGTGGTACACGCATGAACTGCTGCGTGGTGCACGCATGAACTGCTGCGTGGTGCACGCATGGACTGCTGCGTGGTGCACGCATAAACTGCTGCGTGGTGCACGCACAGCTACACGCATAGCAACATAAGCCTAACACTAGTCACCTCCCAAGCATAGCAACATAAGCACGCACCAGTTGCGTGCACCATGCATAGGTTGACACGTGTATTCACTAATACAAGGAAGTCTGCGTCTATAAATGATCCCTATTACATAATTAGTCTGCGATCCCTGTAAGTTTTGACCCCGCGAACCATACGACACTTCAGGTTAAAGAGTCCTAATTTCTATCATCTATTGAGAAGCTATTCATGTGACTCATTTGGGCCAAGGCAATACTATATTAGTACCAGGTCATTGAGAAATTCAAGCACGTATCACGTGTTCTAATTTATTTATGTTATACATACATGTAATGTAAGTTAGAAAATATATCCGAGATAAATGACAGATCAATACAGTTCAATATAATAGTATGACAGGGCAATACAAAATAATACATCTGACGCCATAATATAACATAGTACCAATTTATATAATACACAAATGATACATGCGTTGGATGAAGCATTGTTTTTCATGTCAGGCAGCAATCATGTAAACAAATTACTATTATTTCACACTCACTGGAACGTTATTTGCCCCAGGGTAATTAATTGATCATTCGAGGGTGGTTAATTGATAGTTTTTAAGTAGGTGTCATGATATAACAACGAAACCTTACATGAAAATAACATCAACAAATCCCTATTGAAATTCTTAACTGCCTGTGCGCTAGGTTCGGCTTTTGTACGCTATTGTAATCTTGAAATTTTTGAAGCCAACTGATAATTGTAAAATCAACATTTTTGCATGATGTGTCATAACAAAGTAAATAACAATAATATGCGTTTAAAAAATACTTTTTAAAGACCACACTTCTAAAGAGGTTACTCCGATGTTACACATGTAAAATAACTTTTTTTATTTGATTTTTAAATACCGGTATTCAAAAATTTTCTTTACATTTTCTAAACTATTATTTTTTATTCTGTACATTGATTCAAGCATTGTTTTCGACCTTACGCAAGTGTGCAAAATTTCAGATCGATTGGACAGGTAGAAGTGTGTTAAATACCGATTTCAATATTTGTAGCAGACAAACAAACAACAAGAAGTGAAGTTAAATAGAAGTGTGGTAATAAAAAGGCTGTCATAAACTACTACAAATGCTTTATCATAGAAACATTCATGATAACCAATATTTGTTATAGATATATGCATATGATATAGATACCATGGTACCAACATATAGATATATGTTGGTACCTATGATGGGTCATAAAATGAATACATGTAACGATAATTGTACCATAATACAACGTTCGTAATACCCATGAAGTGTCACGTATAACATGATAACCAAGATGTGTTTTGAAAAATAAATATTTAACGCAAGACGAGTAAGACTTTAACCGCGGCTGAAACTGCATCCTCTTAGCTTTTGTACGTGTTATTCTTATCAAGAAATGATACGGTATCCAGCAGAGGCATCCAGATAACATTTACGCCGGAAATACTTATAGTAATATTATTCTTACCAGAACTGCACAATAAACTGAGCATCAGTTTATCTGGCATCCGGCAACATAGCTCAGAAAAACGCACACGATAAGCGTGCGGCAAACACGTACATAATAATAACAGGTACACATGCCAGGAAATAACCACTGCGCTCTTACTGAAGCCAGTCTAACCGCACACGAACAAACGCACACACACTCGACAATCGCCAGCCGCTCTGCCAGCTCAGTCAGCCAGTCAGCCAGCTGCTCAGCCAGTCAGCCGCTCAGCCAGTCAGCCAGCCGCTCAGTTCAGCCAGCCCGTCAGCCAGTCAACCGCTCAGCTCAGCCAGCCCGTCAGCCAGTCAGCCGCTCAGCCAGCCAGCCAGCCGCTCAGCCAGCCGCTCATCTCAGCCAGCCAGCCAGCCAGACAATGCGCCTGTCGGGAGCAAGGCCGATCCTCAAACTTTCCCCTCCCCCTCTCCACCTCCTCCTCTCT